GCGCCGAGTGCTGCGGGGCATCCCCCGGGTTTGTCTCCTTGTTGCCTGTGGTTCGATGAAAAAAAACTGGCGCTCCCGTTGACGGCGCTGGTTCCTCCGTGAGGAGGCAGGGACAGCCCGTTCGATCCTTAGGAACCCTCTCTCATCATGTTCCACCCTCCTTGGATTCTCCCGCAGTGTTTGATGCCGGCTGTTGTGGGACCTCCCCCTGGGTCGTCTCCTTGTCACCTGTGGTTCTCTGTAAGAAAGCTGGCGCCTGTGCTGACGGTGCTCATTCCTCCTGGAGGAGGCTTGGATGTGCCATTCATGCCTTAGAGCTAGTCCCTCAGCGCGTTCCATCCTCCTTAGATTCTCCCTCAGTGTTTGGCGCACAGTGCTGCGGGACCTCTGGCGGAATCGGCTCCTTGTCGCCTGTGGTTCCATGAAAGAAACCCGGGGTCCCTGCTGACGGCGCCTTCTTCTCCTTGAGGCGGCTCGGATGTGCTGTTCCATCCTTGGAGCTCGGCCATTGCCACGAGCAGTGTTCTGAGCCCTGCTCTGCTGCCGTCTCCTCCTGCTCGAGGGGTTGTAGCCCTGGGCCTGCTGAACCCTGCCGTGGCCATTGTGGTGCTGCCTTTGGTACCTGCTTCGGTTCCTCTCTCGAGCCCCACCATGCCTAGTGCCACGTCTACCGCCCCAGGTACCACCACAGCTTCTGCTGAAAGAGTTGCGGTGCTGGTGTCCTGAGGAACGATGCCACTTCCTTTCCTCAGAGCTGGGTCCAGCTCTCCCTCCTTGAGCACGGTTGTCAGAGCTGCTGTACTGCCCAGTGGAGTAGGTCCCGGAGTTAGTGTCTCCCACTGTGCAAAAGTTGTGTGGGAAAGACCACTGGCATATTGGGCACACTACTCTTCTGTGGAACCACTCCACTAGGCAGGAAAAACAGACAGGATGGCTACGCCAGCTCACGGAGCCTTGGTCATTAGTGGTGTCCAGACAGATTGGGAACCCTAGGCTCTCCAAAGCACCCGGAGGTGTAGCCTGGGACATGTGATTGGTGCTGACAGCACAAGAAGAGGTGCTGCCTTCTGCCGAGTCCTCCTCCAAGTTCATCTCGCCCTGCAAAACAACAAAGAGATAAGAGGTTGTTGCATCCACCTGTGCAAGGGACACAATCTGCAGCCAGCAGCAAAGCTGCCAAAGTTGAGTTCTAAAGAACTGCTCGCTCTGCCTCGGGGCTGCATTTGGGCTGCCACAAATGCCAGAGATCATCCTGGGGCAGATGAGTGACACTGGGGTATCTTGGCATGTTCCTGCTCTCAGGGCAGGATGGTGACTGACCGCTCTGACACGTGCAGGCAGGAGTTGGGAAGGTGGAAAAGGGATTCCTGGCCTCTCAGCAATGGCAGCTGGAGCCTGGGTACATGGCAGGTTGGGACCAGTGGCCTGGGCCCTGCGTTGTACCTGTCCGGCAAATCCTCTCTGTGCCCTCAGAAGGCACCCAGCGGGATGGGTGTCCTTTGTCACTCCACGTGCAGGTGTCTGTTTCTGATGGAGGAGGCCAGACACTGTGGCCCTTCAGGGCTGCCCCACACCTCCAAAAGGTATGTTGTCAAGGGTGTCACAGTGACTCCCTGGTGACATCACAGGACTTCCAGGACCACATTTCAGCCTTGGGGAACAAGACCTTGCCAGATAGCTCATCTCACGGAACTGCCCTGCTGTCGAGCAGAATCCCTTTGCTTTTTTTTCATATAAATTTGGAGGTTTCACCAATCATACCCAGCCCTCTGTTCTCTTTCAGAAATAAAGCATCTCAAGGCATTTGTTGCTCCTTCGCTGACTTTGCAGGTCAAGTGATTTGACCTCTGCTTAGTGCTGTTGAGGCAACAATTGGAGTACTTTGCCCAGTGCTGGGCTCTTCATCATAAGTAGAGATGGACATAGTGGAGAGCAGCTAGCAAGGGTCCACAAGGATGATGAAGGGACTAGATCATCTGTCCTATGAGGAAGGAGCTCAGAGTGCTGCTTCCAGGCTGCTGAGCCTGCAGAAGACTCTGTAGGGTTTTTTTTTCAGTGTAAATCAATACCTGAAGGCAGGGTTGAAAGAAGACAGATCCAGGCTCTTTTCAGGGTGCCCACAACTTCTCTCTGAACATTTGGAAACCTTTCTTTTACTGTGACGGTGATGAAACACTGGCAGAGGATTTCCAGGGTGCTTTTGGAGTCTCACTCCTTGGAGATGAATCTCAAGATCTATGTGGCTATGGTCATGGGCTACTTGCCACAATTCCCTGAAGGAAACCTTATGTGCCCACTTTCCGCACTGGCTTTTGATGCAATAATCCTGCCCTCCAATTCTGGCTTTACAGCCTGGCTCTCATTGTGATCCCTCCCCATTTGCTTCTGTCACTGTGTTTGACCTTAAGTGCTGCTGGATCTCACCTGAAATTGACTTTTTGTTGCCTTTCATTTCCTGGAGGAAACCCCACTGATGTTTCTCGCTCCTCACTAGCTCTTCTGGACTTAGAGCCCACCCCATCATCATGTTCAATATTGGAGTTAAACCAATTAAAGTGCCACAGGTTATCTCTTGATAGATCTGCAAACTCTTATCACTTGTCTCATAAGCCCAGCTGAAGTAGTCTTTCATTAACTTTAGCAAAGACACCTCTTTAGTTCCAAAACTTTCATGTACTCTCATTTAAAAATAAAGTGCAAGACTGGGACTGATTGCAAGGGCTGGTGGACGTTTTGAAGGTGAGCAGTTAGTCCTAAGCTTTACTACCCCTCCCTACTGACCATACAGACTTCTAAGCATCTTCAGCACCTTCCCAGAAGAAAGAGTTTAATTGGTGTTGAGGCCACTGACATCCTGGCTTGTATCAGCAATAGTGTGGCCACCGTGACCAGGGCAATGATAGTCCCCCTGTTCTTGGCACTGGTGAGGCCACACCTTGAATCCTGTGTTCAGTTCTGGGCCCCTCATTGCAAGAAAGACACTGAGATGCTGGAGCACATTCAGAGAAGGGCAGCAAAGCTAGTGGAGGGTCTAGAGCACAAGTCCTATGAGGAGCGGCTGAGGGAGCTGGAGTTATTTAGCCTGGAGAAGAGGTAGCTCAGGGGAGACCTCATCACTCTCTACAACTACCTGAAAGAAGGTTGTAGCCAAGTGGGGGTTGGTTTCTTCTCACAGGCAACTAGTGACAGGACAAGAGGATGTAGCCTCAAGCTGTCTCAAGGAAGGTTTAGATTGGATAATCAGGAAGAATTTCTTCACAGAAAGGTTTATTAATTGTTGCAATGGACCATCCAGGGAAGTGGTGAAATCTGTGTCCCTGGAGATGTTTAAAAGATGTGTGGATGTGGCACTTAGGGGTATGGTTTAGTGGTGGACTTGGCAGTGCTTAATTAATAGCTGGACTTGATCAACTTAAGGTTATTTTTCAACTCAGATGATTCTGTGGTTCTGCTGTAATGTATGTGTACATGTAGATCGACTTTCCCCACTTGTCTTTTAGAATTATCTCGGCAGTGTTCACAATACATCTGGGAAATTCCTTAATTTCGTTCCAGTACTTACTGTGCTTGTGACATTTTTCCCCCTTTGTTTGCCTTGTCTCTCCCTTCTGCATCCCATAGCACAACCCTTTGTATAATTGCATTGGATCTATTTTCAAAGAACTTTCTATCTATTAAACCTGCCCAAACTAAGTATTTTACTGCAAAGAATCAGGTTTTAAGCGTGTGCTTAATTGACGGTTGCTGCTTTCCAGGTTAATCTTTCCCACTGAATGCAATATACCGCTATTTTCCAGGTATATTCAAGTATTTTATAATAATGAAATATCCTTCTGATGATTTTAGTGATAGTAAATAACCTTTTAATCCTAAATTAGGGAAGGTGTATCCCATCTGAGTTCTTTTAGGTGTGTTCTCTGAGAGGTTTTGAAAGAACTTATGACTGAAACATTAGAGAATTGTCTGCTGGTGCAGGCTTTAAATAAATTTTTTGGTCTTATATAGGCAGCATAAATATTTATTAACAAATCATGACATGGGCTGTTCTTTTCAATACATTTTTTCTTATGTTTATTGTGAGTCAAAGAAACTTGTATTGGTGTGTTACAGATTGCTATTGCTGTGTTACTGTTTTCCATTCTTGGTTTCTGGTCCTTGAAACAGCATGTTTCTACGTCCCACAGCTGTCCCTTTTTAGCTATAAATCAGTTATAATTAACTCATTATGAGCATTGCCATTTTCTGTGCTGTCAACAATGTCACTGCTGCAAATGCAGCTTTTTCAAAAGTATCTGTGCTCTCAGGGAGCTCTCAGGCACCTATTAGACGTTCTTTGCAGAGTGATAATTTCAATTATTTGTTGTTATCTGTTCATTATCAGGCTTTAGGGAATAAAGAATTCAAAACTATTCAACCTGAATATATTTTTGAGGTTTTTTTGTAAATTCTGCAGGTGTTCTACATACTAGCAATATTATATATATATATATTTATAACAATTATTTACTGTATTTCTTAATTGGGAATTTTTTTGTAAGAGTTAACTTAATTTTGTACAACCTTCAATTAATTCAGAAGAATTTGAATGGAAACTCAGTAACAAAAAGTAGTTTTCTACTACTTGTACTGAAATTGCAGTTAGAATCCAGTTCAATTCTGGCAGGTCACATCTACAAAAGGCATCAAGCTGAGATGATGTGATCCCCTTTAAAAGGCTGATAAGATGGAATTGTAAGCCTCTTCTATTCCTGCTCCCACTGAGATCATTTGGCTTCCCTTTCAGCTGGGGAAGAATTAGTTGAGAAGTACCACCTGTGGACTGTCACCAGCGCTGAGAGGAAAAGGTGGCAGTCCAGTTTTTTCAAACACAACGGTACATACCACGAGTGCAGACAACACAGGTGTTCAATACACAGCCTGCATTATAATGTGTAAGTTTAAAGTTCCTGAGGATGATAAATATCATGCCACTGATTGCTCTATTTTTTAATATTTTTCAGAAATGGAAAAATTTCAGGGTTCTGAAGGCAAGAAGGAAGATGAAGAAAAGAAATATCTTGATGTTATCAGCAACAAAAACATAAAGCTGTCAGAGAGAGTTCTGATACCTGTCAAACAATATCCAAAGGTACTGTAAAATGTAGTCTAACACTTGTAGTATACAGGCTTTGTAGTATTAAAAAGAAAAGAAATCAAGCTCCTACTTGAATTTACCTATTATTAGCTATCACATGTTTTCACCTATGTCTCAGGGCCTTTCAGAAAAGCTGTTGAAGTGAATGAGATTTTTTTTTTAACTTCAGGTAGGTTTTGTGGATTATACTTAGGCAGACCATTGATCTTTTTTCTCAGAGTTGTTTTTTCACATGAACCATTTTTTTATAAAATAAAATACCAGTTAACAAAGAAAAAAATGTTCCAATAACTCTGAATAGCTTCGTCATAGAAGAGCTGGGTGATTTTCTCTGGTGTAAGAAGTTTTGGAAGATCAAGTATAAGGATTACTGATTACTGCAGGCTGTGACTATGACAATGTTCATCTTTATTTATAAAAATCAAATGTCTTAGCACCTCGGACTTTCTTCCCTGTTCTCGCTGCTGCACACTCTGATTTTAAAACAGGAATTTTTTTCTTGACAAAGAGCCCCAAATTCATCTGCTTGTCAGAAGTTTTAGTTTTTATTTTGCGGAAGATAATGTTGATTTTTTGCAGCTTGGGTGTTTATTTGGTTTTCTTGTACAATGTTTGATTTTACATAAACAGTTGTTCTAATAGTACTCATACTGAAACGGTAAACATCTCCATTTGTCTCCACAGTATTTTTTCCTTGCTGATTTAGTATCACATGGTATTTAATTCACCAATAGCCTTGATTACACTCTCAGCTTTTTACTTTATACTTTCATCAGAGCAATAAATTACAGCTGGTAAAAAGCCAATCAAGCAAAATGAGAGATGTAAAAAAATTGAGATTCAATGATTCCAGTTGACATTTACCTCCTGACTAGTGAATATAAAACTGAGATAATGTAATAATCCAAATGGTAAACACCTTAGAAACACATACCTTGCTATAAGGAATTACTTTCTTTCTGTATAGCCTAAGTTGCTTTAACTAGATTTGTGGTATTTTGTGTAAATGCTGTAGGTGACCTGAAATTCTTAGTAAAAATGTAGTCATTCTGTAGCTTCATAATGGCAATGTGATAATTATTCAGAGTACTGTTTGATGAAGATAGTAGAATGAAAGACAAACTATTTAAAAGACAAAATGCAATAATCTATCCAGTATAGCATCTGAATATGATTGAATTAAGCTTCATTTACTTTAATGAACCTGTCATATTAATGAACAGTAAAAAATAAAGCATTTTTACAGATTTAGACCAGTGAAGCAAAAAAATCAGTGTGATGGAGATAAAATACTTATTCAAGAATGAAAATAAACTGGAAAGTTTCTGTAGTTGGTTTGCTAGCAATATTCTGTGCTTGGTGTGGAATTATTCTCAGAACTTCCTTCAAGGATTCCATTTGCCATTTGTATCAAACTACAGATTGCTGTGATCCAGTGTCTTATCTTCTCTTGAAAATTTTATACATTAAAGTAGTCAAACCCAGTACCCATTGGGTGCTTCAGATTGCTTTATAAATAGCAAAAAAGACTAGAAACTCAATTAAAAGAGGATTATATATATTTAGTAGAATATGTTAATAAGAGCAGTTGATCAGACTTATATGTATAAATAAGTAAGATTATTACCATGTGATTTCGCCTGAGAGACATTTATCACAGAATCATAAAATATGCTGAGTTGGAAGGGATCCACAAAGATCATTGAGTCCAACCCTTAGCTCTGCACAGACCCAGCCCCAGGAGTCATATCCAGGGTTGCCTCATCCTAGGTGCAGAATCTGCCACTTTTCCTTGTTGAACTTCATGTGGTTGGTGATTGCCTAATCCCCTAATTTTTCGAGGTCTCTCTGCAGGGCCTCCCTGCCATTGAGGGAGTCAACAGTTCCTCCCAGTTTTGTGTCATCAGCAAACTTGCTTAGTATCCCTTCCAGTCCTGCATCAAAGTAATTTATGAAAATGTTGAAGGGCACTGGGCCTAAGATGGAGCCCTGTGGAACCCCACGAGTGACATGTTGCCAGTCTGATGTTACTGTATTACCCTCTGTGCTCCAGCCATGAGCCAATTGCTCACACACCATATGATGTGTTTATCCAGCTGTGTGCTGGACATTTTGTCCAGAAGGACCTTGTGAGAGACAGTATCGAAAGCTTCACTGAAATCCAAAAAGATGACATCAACTGGCTTCCCTTGATGAACTAGGTGGGTTACCTTGTCATAGAAGGAAATCAGGTTCAATAAGCAGGACTTTCCTCTCATGAAGCCGTGCTGGCTGTGACTGATGCCAGTGTTGTCTTTCAGGTGTTTTTCAGTACTTCCCAGAGTAATCTTCTCCATAACTTTACCAGGCACTGAAGTGAGACTGACAGGCCTCTAGTTTCCAGGCTCCTCCTTCCTGTCCCTAAACTGGGACGATGTTTGCCATCTTCCAGTTAGCTGGGACCTCTCTGGATTCCCAAGACCATTCAGAAATCATTGAGAGATGTTTTTTGGTTTATATTTGAAAGAACATTATTTTAAATTATTTATTCATTGTTTGCTGATAAGCTTTTTTGGGCAGTTTTGGGTTTTGTAAATCTGAAGAAAGTGTCCAAGAGTGTAAAATTTTGAAAAAAAAAATTTGCCCAGTTAGAAACCACTAAAAACCAACCACATAGTTTACGGACTCTCTATATAGGAATGAGTGCAATCCTTGAAAAATATTTGTCTTACTTTAACTCCACATATAAATATAAAGTTCTCAAAGGGAACCCTTGGCCTAAAAGTTTATTATGGTCTGCAGGTTAAGCTGCAGTGATGGTAGATCCCTTCAGTAACAGCTGTAGAGTCAGGAGCAGCATTTTAAGGTCTGAGCAAAAGTTAACACAAAAGGCTTCTAGTGGTTAAACAGCTCTTGAAGTTGCAGAATAAATATTATAAAATTATCTCTGCTTAAGTGTCTACAGTCTGATTTCTGAAATTGCTGGTGTGTACAGCACAAAAAGAATATGAAAGACTGTGATTAGCACCAGCTGTCGTAACATTACCAGCTCTGTTAATGACACAGGCCTTTCCCCTCTTCTGTAAAACCAGGATCTAAAATAGAGACAGAGGTGTTAGTTGATACTTTAGCAATGATTTCTGTGAGATGAATAAATTTAAGTACCAGCAGCCCAGGTAAAAGCAGCATCTCATTTACACACATTCCTCTATGCAGCAGATATTTTTAGTACATTCAGATTTCCTCTTGAAACAGGCATTCAGTGTCTTGTTTTCGTTGATCCTTCTTTCTGTCCCATAACACCATTTTTTTTCTTTCACGATGTGTGAATTCCAGTTAAGACTTGCATGAAAACATTCAAAAAGATTTTAGCATTTATCAGCGTAATATTGTATTTCAAATTCATCAAATATGGGAAAAGAGCGGGTTATTAAAAAAAAAAACATAAGTCTGAAATTATCTTGTTACTGAAAAACAAAAGCCACAATTTAGGGGTTTGGTGGGAAATTTTGTCATTTGCATGGTAATACAGATTTTTGCCATTTACTAACCAATTATTTCACTTCCACTATATTGCATAATCATCATCTTTCTTTGTGATAACTTGTTCAAGAAGCATGTAAACTGGGCTTTGCAAATTCATTCCTTTGTATAGTTTAAGAGCTTGAAACCTTATTTAAAGCCTTGGTTTGATGTAGCACATAATAGAGAAATTTTTTGTTTGCAAGCTTGTCCAGTGCACATTGTGAGTTAAAATGTTGTTGACCTTGGTGAAATTCTGTTGCCTTTATGCTTGGCTTCAGCTTAGCTGGATTTCAGCCATTAAGGAATGGGTCAGTTTGTTAATTTCTTTTGCTATCTTTAAGTGCAAGTAGATGACAAATCAGAGAAGTAAACAGTACATGCATAAAAATCTTAAATATTTCAGTGCTTCTGTTGTGGTTTGACCTCAGACAGCAACCAATCCCCATGCAGACGCTCACTTACTCCCACCAGGGGCATGGGAGAGAGACAGAATAGTAAAAGTGAGAAAACAAGAGTTGAGACAAGACAGTTTAATAGCTAAAGCAAAAGTTGGATATGGAAGTGAAGCAAAACCAGGAATGAATGCACTGCTTCCCATGTGCAGGCAGGTGTTCAGCCATCTCCAGGACAGCATCGTGTAACAGTGACTTAGGAGGACAAATGCCATCACTCCAAACGTCTTCCCCTTCCTCCTTTTTCCCCCACCTTTATATGCTGAGCATGACACCATATCGTTTGTGATATCCCTTTGGTCAGTGGGGTCAGCTGTCCCAGCCATGTCCCCTCCCAACTCCTTGTGCATCCCCAGCCTTCTCCCTGGTGGAGTGGGGTGAGGAGCAAAAGACCCTTGAACGCTCTGCAAGTGCTGCTCAGCAATAACAAAAACATTGTGTTATCAGCATTGTTTTCAGCAGAAATCTAAACCACAGTCCCATACTTTAAAGAAAATTAATTCTACCCCAGCCAAAATGAGCACAGTATCTTTTACTATTTTAAAGATTCTGTGCTGAATATTATTTGTTTATATTGTTTTATGCTTCATAAACTCATGACTTCAAGCAAATAACTTACACAAACTTACCAGTGCTAAAGACTTCATTGTGAAGGGTGAGCTTTTCCATTGATGTTCTGTCTTTACATCTGACTCAGACAATTAATATGGTGATTTTTATTTAGCATTCTCTTTCTTTTATGTGTTGTTTCTCTCAAACCTGATGGTTGCTATTATGCTTTCAAAGCAATTGTTGTAATATTAATCATCTGCAAGTGATTTATGTGTTTAGTTCACTTTTAAGTAAAATAGGAAAAGTAAGATATAGTACTATGTCCATTGGATGGATTGACAAGAAAATACAAGATTTCTAAGGAAAATAGGACCTGGGCTATTAGTCAGCTGAATGAGTAGCCAGGACTTCTATCTGTGATTTAAATTGCTCTAATGAAATGAGAACCTTGTTGTTACATAACGCAAAAGGAAAATTTCATCTGTC